ATGCAAATAATGTTGGAAAAATAGATTGAAACCACATTGTATCAAGCCTTAAACATCAGGTTAAGAAGTTCATATTCCATTCAAAAGGCAATGGGGGAAACACAGAAGGTTTTTGGTCCAGGAAAAAAAAATTGTCAAGTTTGTGCCTTAGAAAAAGTGTTTTAGCTAGGGATAAATAGATAGATCTCTTATGACAATAATCTGGGTAATAGACAATGCTAGAGATAGCAAGACATAGTGAAAAGATAGCTAGAATTAGAAAGATATGGGTTCAAATTCTGGTTCTGACAAATATTAGCTGAATTATCTTGGGGGTCATTTAATGTATCAGTGCCTCAGTCAAATCTCCAAAACTAAAATTCAGAGCGTAGTAAGGTTCTGCTTACAGTGGTAAGAAGCATTTCCTCAACAAGAGTCATACATGTGTATATGTGCATATGTGCATAATGTGTGTGTGTGTGTGTTCATTTGAAAGAGAAAGAAGAGGGAACTTCCTGAAAAATATGGCCAAGTGAGGCAATAAATCACCTCAACTCTTCCAAATTCCCCTCAAACAACCTTTAAATGATGCCTCAAAACCAATTTTTGAGTGGTGAAACAGTTTTCCAGTCCAGGACAGTTCAAAGAATCAGCAGGGAAGGTCTGCTTCATTGACGTGAGAAAAGAGCACTATTTTGATCCAGGCAGAGCCTGAGGAAGCTAGTAGTAGTACATATACCAGGAGACTATGAGCAAACCAGCTGCAGAGATCCAACTCCAGTGCATGGTACCGTTGAGGCCCCAAGCCATGGGTCTGTTCCCACACAGGCCAACAGCAAGGCCCTGACCCCAATTAAAACCAGCAGCGAAGCCCCACCCTCAGTGAAAGGCAGAAGCAAGGTCTGAACTGTGGCAAAAGAAGATTGACTTCATCACCAGCATTCACTTCCATTTACCTAAACAGAACATAACTTCATGTATGCATCGTTCCAGCAAACATTGGCGTTTAATAGACAATGTCTTCATAAGGAGAAGATAGATAGGATGTGAGAATGACAAAGGCAATGTATGGCACAGTGTACTGTACAGTCATAGATCCATGGAAAGCAAAACATGTGCGTTTAACACAAGCAGTGCCCCCAAGGCATGATGACTATTAGGAGATTCAATATCAACAAATTAGAGAGCTCTGCTTTTGTGAACAATTTGTTACTCACTGGGAGAAAAGTCTGAGCCAGCATAACGTTGGTCTCAGTGAAGCAAAAAAGGAATGGTATACAACACTTCATTTACATTATCTGGACTTGCAAATATCAGGAATGGTTTGATGAAAATGATGGGGAAATTCAGAAACTACTAAGTGAAAAAGGAGAACTCTGAAGGATTACTAGTAGGACAGTTTGTCCATCTGTAAAAGGCAGCATTTAGTTCCATCAAAACTGAAGTGTAAGCAACACAGAGATGCAAGGCTCAGTAAGAAGGCAGGTGAAATTCCAGGTTAACCCTGATAATAACAGTCCAAGACATTTTTACAATGCCTTGAAGGCTTTCTGTAGAGCAAATAATTTGGTACATCTAAATTACACAGCACTGATGAAGTCACATAGATCATTCACAAAATTACCCTGGATAGATGGACTGAACACTTCCATACTGCTCTCAACAGATCTTCATCAACCAATGCTAAAGCCATTGACCATTTACATGAGGTTGAAGACAATCTTTCTCTAGCCACTTCTGATTGAACAAGATGTTTTGAATGCTATTATGCTCTTCTCATATGGAAAAGTGCTTAGTGCTAATTCTATTCTGGCAGAGATCTACATAGCAGGGGGTCCACTGCTCATACAAAAACTGATAAAAATCTTTCAAAGATTTCCAATAAATCTCTGTAAAGGCAAGGAAAGGTTATCCTCCAAATGATCAAGGATTCCTCTATTGTCCATATATATAAAGGAAAAAAAAAAAAGAAATATGCTGTCCTGTAACAACCATGGGGGTGGAAAGGAAAGTCTCTTAGTTATTGCTGGCATGATTCTTGCCAGAGGATTCCTTAACAGGCTGATCCTTCACCTGAAATACGGTCATCTACCTTAGCCAGTGTAGCTTTAGAAAGGTCTGAGGAATGGACAACATGGTGCTTGCTGCTCAACAACTCCAGATGAAATGCCAGATGCAGAACAGAGCTCTGTGCACAATGTTCATCAATCTAACCAAAGCCTTTCATATTGCCAATCATGAGGGCTTGTGGATGATCATGGCAAAATATTGTTGCCTGGATAAGTTCTGTAGTATTGTATGCCAGTTTCATGATGGCACAGTTGTATGGATTCTGGATAATGGACTCTTGCACTTTCCCAGTCACCATTGGAGTAAAGAAGGCCTATGTGCTTGCCCCCATGCTTTTTAGTATGATATTTTTAGTAATGTTTTCAGATACCTTTAATGAAGATGCAAATAGCATCAAGGTCAACTGTCTTACTGATAGTATACTATTTAGCTTGAAAAGATAAGGCTAAAGTAGAAGGAGAGCTCATACACAACGTTTTGTTCAGAAAGGATTGTGCACTCAATGCAGCTTCTGAGGCTAAGATACAACAAAGTATGGATGGATTCTCTGAAGCTTGTGTCAATTTTGGCCTGACAATCAACACCAATAAAAGAGAGATCCTCTATCAGCCAGGACACAACATCCACACATTGAACAACAGGTTAAACCAAATGGAGAAATTTTGAATGCTGTGCATAAATTCACTTACCTTGGCAGTATACTTTCCAGGGCTGTACACTTCGACAATGAGACTGACACAAATATTGCTAGAGCTAGCCCAGCATTTGGGAGGTTCTGAAAGAATGTGTGGGAGAGAAGAGGTGCTGACCTCACTGTTGTATACCTCTAAAATCTGGACAATCCAAAAGTGCTGTGCCAGAAAATTGAATTGATTCATTTTATTTGTCTTAGGAAAATTCTTAAGATCACCTAACAAGATAAGGTACTAGACAATAAGGGCATTTCTTGAGCTGAGCTACCAAATGTTGAAAACCCTACTTTAGAGATTTCTGCTGCTAAAATAAAATAAAATTTGAAATCCTGTCAAATTATAAAGATCTGAATATCCAACAACAACCACCTCAACAGGTTTAGTTGTATTCAGTTTTTTCATTCAGATCTGGGCAAGATTTTTTCATTTCTTAAGGATGACAACTCTCACAGGCATTAGCAGGATGGGGGCCCTTGAGGCTGCCTGGGAGCATACACCACATGGCATGCTTCATAGCTCTGCCTTGCTATAATTCTCTCAAAACCTCTGCAATGGGAGATTAAAAAAAAAAAAGTCTTATAATTTATTATTTTTTGTTTATTTTTAGTTTTCAACATTAACTTCAACAAGATTTTGAGTTCCAAAATTTCTTCCCATCTCCCCCCTCCCCCACCTCAAGATTACAAGCCATTTGATATAGGCTCTACATATACATTCATATTTAAACTACTTTCACATTTGTCACGTTGTAAAGAATTAGAACCAATGGGAGAAACCATGAGAAAGAAGAAACAAAGAAAAAAGAAAGAAAAAAAAGAGGAGCAAATAATATGCTTTGATCTGCATTCAAGCTCCATTGTTATTTTTCTGGGTGTAGAAAGCATTTTCTATCATGAGTCCTTTGGTGTTGTCTTGGATCCTTGAATTGCTAAGAAGGGATGAGTCTATCAAAGTCAGTCATCACACATTGTAGCTGTTACTGTGTACAATTTTCTCCTGGTTCTGCTCACTTTACTCAATATCAGTTCACGTAAGTCTTTCCAGGTTTTTCTGAAGTCCACCTGCTCATCATTTCTTATAGCACAATAATATTCCATTACCTTAATATACCACTACTTGTTCAGTCATTCCCCAGCTGATGGGCATCTTCTCAGTTTCCAATTCTTGGCCACCACAAAAAGAGCTGCTATAAATATTTTTTTGTATGGGGTGGGTCCTTTTCCCATTTGTATGATCTGTTTGGCATATAGACCAGGAAGTGGTATTTCTGGGTCAAAAGGCATACACAGTTTGGTTACCCTTTGGGAATAAATCTTCATATAACTGATCTGCTTCAGCCACTTCAATGTCAGTGGCTAGAGCATAGACTTGTGCTACTGTGATGTTGAATAGTTCGCATTGTATTCAAACAGATATCATTCTGTCATTTTTGAGCCTTAACCCCAGTACTGCTCTTCTCACCATTTTATTGACATATGAGGGATACTCTACTTCTTCTAAGGGATTCTTGCCCACAGTAGTGTATGTCATGATCATCTACTGCTATTAAGCTAGAGTATAGTTTAGGCTCAACACTTTTCGCCAGGATAGTGGCACAGTAGTATGTTTTCTCCCTTCTCTGAATCATGCACACAGGTGCCAGAGCATAGGTCTGTCAAAAAATTCTTCATCTCAGAATCGTTTTATGCAAGTTTGCCTATAGAATACTCCTTAATTTAGGGTTTCATTTCCTTAAAGTTTCATTAAAATGCCACATCATGGGAAAGCTTTCCTGATTCTTTAAGTTGTTATTGGCTTTATCTGTAAATGCTGTGCCCTTAGCTACACTAATTTCATTATGGACAGGTATTTGTTGTGTCTCTAGCATATTGCAAGTAGGATGTACCTCTAAATGTTTTTTTGAACTGAGCAAATAAATTTTGACTCTTCATAAAACATTCCTACATGGACGTTTAATTATTTTTCTGTCATATTCATTTAATTGAGGGTATTCATTGGAACTTGAATATTTCGACAGCCTCTTTTTTGCCTTACAATATGATGTGTAGTAGTAGTTCAAAGGCAAGATAATCAGGTTAAGTCCTTATTTTCTTTTATGATTTCAGGTTGTATTTGAGAACCTACTCACCATTTTTAACAATTCTATGGAAACTAACTTCTAAAGCAAGTTGAAAGCTGGGGACTACAAATCTATCAAGATGATTTCACTTGTACCCAACTCATTACCTTCACTTTTCCCCTTCCTCATATTTTATATAGCATGCCAAGTTTAACCTTCAATAAATGATGCCATTTTCAACTACTTAAGCCAAAGAAAAAAAAGAAAAGAAGAAAGGAAGAAAAAGATAAAAAGAACAAAAAGAAAGGAAGGAAGGAAGGAAGGAAGGAAAAAATTGTGATGCCGATCAACATAAGGATCAACCATGATTCCAGTGTGCTGATAATGAAGAATTATGACAAAGAGGTAACAGACAAATATGTAGAATAAGAAATTCATTGTTTAACATGATTAATATGAAAAAATGTTTTGATTAACTATGCCTATGAATCCTTAATTCTCCTTCCTTTCTTTCCTTTTCCTCCTTTCCTTCTTTCTTTTTTTTACCTTTATTCCTTCTTTTTCATTGGGTGATTGGGTAAGTGGGAGGGTCAGGTGGATACTTGATGATTTAAAAATAAAATCATATATGTATACATACATATATATATATATTTTTCTCTTAACTTCAGTGTTTTTTTTTTCACTTTTCTGGTACTCATTCTAGTTTTCTAATGTGTCTTTTGCTAGATATTCTTCTTTTTCTTTTTCTCTAACTGGGGTGTACTTCAAATCTTCATTTTTAGCCTTTAAGAAACTTTAAAGTGTGAAATATAAGCTCAACAATATAGGAAGAATAAATATATATTTTATTTTCTACTAAATGTAAGATACTGGGCTAGGCAGTGATTGGAACAAGATAGGAAAAAAAAAACCTTAGTCTTCTACTTCATACTCTCTACTTTTTGTAACCATAGAACCTTATCTTAAGATGTAAGAAGGGCCCATGCATTGCTAGATGAGCCCCCCACATTAACTTTGGGGTGTCACCATTCAAAGGGAGCAAAAATAGACATTTCTAATGTTCTTCTCTCCTCCCTTCCCCTCTAAAGATATTTCAGTTTTTGCCAGGAAGGGAAACAAGAAGTTGGGGGAGTGTCAGATATTTGATCACTCTGTTCTAAGACAGAAAGAGAACTGGGATAGAATTTTATCTCTCTGCTTCCTTAACTGTGGTTAGTCCAGGGAATGAAGTTTTCAAGTTCAAGCTCACTTCTAATTACTGTCCATTTTTTGTGGAGGAGAGGAGGGATGAAAGACTCCAAACTTTATATATAAGGCTATATCCCTTCCCACTGAACAGCAGTTCAACAATGAATATACATATAGAAATTGGCCACGAAAACTTATTTATCCAAATCAATAGCAAAACAGAAATCAGAGAAAGTATCCATGTGAGAATATACACCAGACAATACAGACTGAGGGAGTTCTCCCACTGGGAGAGAGGTAATTCAGCTTAACCAAGATAGCAATCCCCAACACTCCCCCAAGGGGAAGTTCTTTTAAGTTTCTAGAGTAGCAGCCTGAGGGTGGGACATGATGGAAACTGCCAGTTTTCTCATGGAGACTTCTTCCTAGAGTCTTTTCCTTTAGCAGCCTGGTGGGGTTGTTGTCTTATGATTTCCCTCTCCAGGATGGAAACCAGAAGCACCCATAGAAACTCAAACAGAGACCTAAAGATGACTCTCCAGCTTCAAGAGGGTCTAAAGAGTCTGAAGCTTTCTCTTTCTTCCACCAACAGTGTCCCAGCCCTGATTCAGGGCAAAGTAGTCTTCTACAATAAGGAGGTTTTGGAGACTGTGGTTACACTTATATAAATTTTCAAGAAAACTTTAAGAGGAAGTAAAAGTTTAGGGACAGATATGAACTAAATTTATCACAGTTGTAGCTTTGGCATCTTTGATTCATGCTTATTATCTCCAGTAATCATGAGTTATGTAAAATGTGATTCTTTGTCCCCATACCATTTATTTCTTAACTAAGGCCTAAGTGATAGTGCCCTTTTGCAGATATGCAGAGTAAAATATGAAGGCGCACCCTACCAAAACATTCACACAGGTGATGTGCAAGAGCAAGAGACTTTTTCTCATCTCTTGAATATGTGTTATTTCCTTAATCCCATGAATTCCTATTATTTCCTTTCACATAAAAATAATGGCTTTCAATCCATAGTATGGTGAAAGGATATGGGATTTATCTCTGTAGTCTAGCCCTTATTCTCTGTGCATGAAAACTTCTCAGTGTCCAGTGAAATGAGAATTCAGTTTTATTGTTGCTATTAATCTCCCTACTATTTTATCAATTATAAGTGGCATATCCAGTATGATTATTACCTTCTTAAGAAAAATGTGCCCTTATACTCACAACTTCGACATAGAGTTACTTTTACCCAGTAGAATGCAAGTTTATTGTGGACAAGGACTATATTTTGTTTGTTTTTTTCTAGGCATATCTGTTGTTTGTACATTTGGGTGATAAATGCTTGAATTGATTATGTTTTTTCAGCAACGTTTTGTTGGCTTTAGAAGTGTACAGCTATTGCAAACCCAACCTGAGCCTTAATTCTCTTGTCCAGGTGTATGGTATGCTACTCTGTCAACACTTCAGAGTGCTGACTATAGATTCTTGATAGTTGTCCAAATCATTGTAAGATGCAAGTGAAAAAAATACTTTCAAAGTATTGATTGCAGAGGTTGATATCCTGGATTTTCTCTCATAACATCATGCAATTTGTCAAATATCAGTTTAAAACTTCTACCAGTGGCTAGCTAGCAAATCAATTAACCTCTCTGAGTCTCAATTTCCTAATGTGTAAATGATGACATTGTACTGGATAAATATAAAGTAATCTTTCCTGCTTTCAAAAATTATGATTTCATAGTTTGAGCTCTAATTAGCAATTATTCATTTCATCATCTCTACTAGGGAAAAGGAAAGATATTAACATGTAAATCAATAATTTATTCTTGCATCTTTGAATTGATTCTCTAATATAATCTCAATCACACTTGAACTGATTAGCCCATCTAGGAATCAGTCAATTCCTGAGTATAGTGCACTTTCTATTTAATACGATTACTCTAAACCCCTTTTCTTTCACTGCTTATCTGTGTAAGACAGAGGTTGGAGTGCAGGTTCAAAATACACACACACACACACACACACACACACACACACACACACACATGCACACACACAATTTTATTAGCTCATTTTGCATCTTATTAGTCAAAGGTTTGCAGATCAGATAGATGGTTGACACATTAATGGTTAAAATAAGGTTTTTGTTTATCTATAAATTTCAGTTATCTATAGTGCCATTGAGTCATTATACTCACACAGTGATAAGCACACTGTGTGCACTTTATCAATTGATACAATAAGTGAGAATCTCTGTAATTAATTTTTTGACTAGCAGTGATTCTCTCTGTATAACTTTTCTGATTTTTAGCAGCTTCATTCACACTAAAACTACTTGTGCTAAAATCGAGTCATTTTAAACAAGCAATTTAGAACAAGCAAAGAAGAAAATGAAAGGTAGGGGATTGTCAAAAGCATTGAGACGGGAGTTCTAAATATACAAACTTTAATTTTCATTTTTCTTTTTGCTTTTATCTCACTTCTTGCCCACTCCTTGTAACTTCTTTCTCTTTTTTTCCTTTTCTTTTCTTCCTTTCTTTCTTTCTTTCTTTCTTTCTTTCTTTCTTTCTTTCTTCTTTCTTCTTCTTCCTTCCTTCCTTCCTTTCCTTCTTTCTTTCTTTCTTTCTTTCTTTCTTTTTTTTTTCTTTTTTCTTTTCTTTCTTTTTTCTTTTCTTCTTTCTTTCTTTCTTTCTTTCTTTCTTTCTTTCTTTCTTTCTTTCTTTCTTTCTTTCTTTCTTTCTTTCTTTCTTTCTCCCTCCCCTCCTTCATTTTCCTACACCCAAGGCCTTGAATCCAGAGGACTTGGGTTCAAATATTTATAAAAAATGAGGAAATTGGACTAAATGGATTTTGAGGTCTCTTCTCTAAATTTATGTTTCTCTTCAATTTTAAAATTACATGAATATTTTTACTGTATGATAATAAGGAGTAGAAGGTAGAGGAGAAAAAAATAGGCAAAAGTAGGGAATATGATTCCCCTGTGTGAGAAAAGGAAAAAGCATCAGAGCCAAAGATATATATTCAACTGCACCATCAGGAAACTATAATTTAAAATTTTAGCTCTAGAAATCTGAAAAGCACCTACAGTTCTCATGGGTCCCTATAACTTATAATTATCTTACTTTACAACCAAATGCTTAATTGAATACTGATAGACATATCTCATTATCTTCTGCTGAAGACTGTATACAACATGAATAATGACTGATAATTTGTTAAAGTGTAGATTTAAGACCATCATTCCCATAAATTTTAAACACCTAAATTAATACCACTGATTTCTATTCACTTGTTTCACAGTTTTCTTTTATTTTCTTTAAATAATTTATTGGGCCCTTATTTTGGAAGAAATAAGCTGTTTTAACTAATCTTTTAAATAACCACACTTTCCAGGAAGTGAAGCAGGATTAGAGGTATTTATAATGTCACATGTTTTATGTAGTAGTGAAGGGCTATAAAAGGCTCTGACGACCATTTAGGAAAATGAAGTGTGATTCTCTTTTTTTGGCTTGACTAAAATAAATTGGTTGATTCATACAGACACAGACTTACATTCATAGAATTACTGATTTTAAGCTACTATATATAAAGTATCATGGACTATTTTAACCTGAAATTCATGTCTAATGTATCTCGATATGTATAATGATTTGACTAAGGGAGCTTCCTAAACTGAGGGGCAGGGACTGGACACGTGCTAAATTGAAAGAGAAGGTAGACAGGAGGGATATTAGTCTAGAAACATTCTCTAATAATTAAATTTTAACTTATATAATATACATGCAGTATGAATAATTGTTCTAAAATTAGAACATGTGAGCTCCTATTTGTTAATTTATTGAATTTGTTCTAGGAGTTCATTGAGAAGTCTTTCATTATTGGCAGCAATGGTCGAAAAATAATGATATTAAAGACAAATAGCATTTTTTCACAAAACACTTTATAATTATCGTCTCATTTGATCTCCATAAAATCCTATGATGTTGGTGCTATTATTATCCCCCATTTACTCTATTGAAAACTGAGGTTAAGAAAGATTAAGTGATTTTCTCAAGGTCACAGAATGCTGTCTAACACAGATTTCATACTCAGATCTTCCTGACTCCAAGCCCTAAATTCCTTTTATTAGACAATCTAGCTATTTCTATAGTAATAGTAACAATTTCAGTAACATTAACAAAAATGATAATGTTTCTACTT